CACATCTACACATTCCTTGAACACCTCCAGGGGTGGTGATTCCACCATCTCCCTGGTCAAGCCTGTTCCGCTGCCTGACCACTCTTTCAGAGATGAAGTTTTTCCTAATGTCCAACCCGATCTTCCTCTGGTGCAACCTGAGGACATTTCCCCTTGTCCTATCACTTACCCAAGAGAATATGCTACATTATTCATAATATAAGGGTATCAGATTTCAGGTAGCATTTTGAATGTAGACTTAAAAGATCCCATGATTAGCAGCAAGAGTCAGTTTATTAATTGTCCTCAACATGCAGTGTAGAAAAGTGTCACTGATGGCAGTGATGAATTGTTATTCAAGAAAATTGTAAACAACTTTAACTGAGAACCAAAGACTTACATTATCCTGCAATGTACTCGATGCATGTAGGATAAATTAATCTTTATTAAACGAAGACACTGTGCAGCCAAGCAGACAGTTCAAGTATCACCTTATTCCTATACGTCACTTACTAAGTTTTTCAGCAAATCATAAGCATAGTTAATTAAAAGAAAGAGTACAACCACAGTGTTTCAGGCAGTAGATGTGATGTCCTAATGTCCTAGCTCCTGCTGCCATTCCGAGGTTGCATGTCAGTGCCCTCTTGCTAATAGCAGTATGAACACATTGCCACTACTTCTACCCTGCATTTGTGTTCAGTTTTCTCTCTGCCTTGTGGGGTCACATTGTGCTGTGTCTTGGGGACCTCATTCCTTCTCACAGGGGACCTGCTGGAAGCCACAGTCAGAGAGAACTGCTGCATTCCAAACCTTGTATCAGTGCGTGTAAGGCACATCCGTGAACAGAACACAACACCCAGGTCAGACACAGCCTCTTTCCACCTTCATCCAGTCAGATTTGTTCATAACATGCATTTTTATTCTCATTTCTCACATCCTATTGTTGCCTCTGCCCCTTCATAAACAATTATGTGGTGACTGCACTGTACACATAGAGCGTCCACATAGTGAGCTACCACATGTCCTCGAATGACTGAAGAGAAAGAAGGGAAATACATGTTATATATTCATACTTACATATAAAGAATTGCCTTTTACCCCAAGAGAACCAAGATAAAACTCAGACAATATAGAGTTGCTTTGCATATAAATGAAGGAGACCATATTGACCACAGCTGCAGTGCACGTCTGAAGTTTTATTTTATGTTTAACACTTGAAGTCAATTAGAAAAATCGTATGTGTCAACTCACAAATCTAAATGTCAATTGTCAGAACAGGCTTATCTACTTATTTCACTAGGAAAAGATTTTCTAAGTATTGAAGTTTTCCATTGCACTTCTATTAAAAACAGTTCTATCAATCGGGTACAAATGCAATCACTCATAAACTTCTTAAGGGATAAATCCTCTGTTTGAATAATTACAAATGAAAAGATAAATCCTGAAATTCAGTTGTAGTGTAAGAAGTTTTCACTGTGGGACAAGATGTTGTAAATGACAAAAGAAAAACTGAAGGATTGGCACAGCGATGTAATTTCCATGGAGAAAATAAACCTATGCAGCAGTCATTTCTTACAATTGAACTCATCTTGTTTGGATTTTTAATTCCCATTGTAACTCTGTGTTAACTTTCTTTTGACAGAGTGAATTGTTTCCAAGAAGAAAAAAGATGAAATAAACCACTTGATCCCAAAGTGAAAAGAGTGGACCCATCACAGCCACTGCAGTAAACAATTAGAGGTAAATACAGAGTAACTCAAATTTAACCTTACTTGCCTGCCTTTAATCCGCAGATGATTTGAAAGTGATTCAGAGTGAACAGTTAATAATACAGAAGCCTACTAAATTCTTTCATTAGTGCACAACGTTAAAGCATTAATCTTCAAACTGCACACATTTCCAGTGTGGGTTAAAAAAATGAAAAGATTGAAGTAAGGGAAATGAAACCAATTGCTAATTCCTTTCTGTAGAAAGAGCAGGAACAACATTTTGGATGCAGACATCGAAAGAAATTTAAAACTTCAACTGCTGTTGCAGAAAATAGAGAAACAAAACAATGACTGAACTATGGCAGCTGAACACATTGTGTCAATTTTTTATTTTTATTTATATATTTATTTTTTCCCTTAGCAGATAGATCAGATACAAATAGTTCTGCATAGAGAGGTAAATAAGGAGAAATGATCTGGCTGTATTGACATTCATTTTGAAGTATTAGATGTTAAAATGAAGATGCTTTATTGCTTATGGATAACAGTACAACTCTTGCACACAAGGACTCCAAAATAAACAAACATCATTCTAAGTTTATTTTTTTTATTTACAAACCAGAGATCGTGGTATGGAGTGCACCATCACCTCATGCCAGCACCCTGGTTGGAATGAACAGGAAAGATAACAAAAAAAAACAACAAAAAATAACAAAAAATGAAGTGGGCAGCCTTTTTTGAAGATATGAAAATAGTCTCGCACCCTCCCCTATGGGCCTGTATCTTGGCTTTGGAAACTCACAGGAGCTCCAGCAATTCAAAGACAACATGCTCTGTATTCCACCAGTATAAATTAATATCTCACCTATTAGAAGCAAGCTTTCCTCTGCTCCAGAGAGAGGATATAATGGGTACACACCATACACCATCTTGGGGTTTTATGTATGTGACCACGGAGAGGATATGAGAAGGTGGTATGGAAAACCCACCCCAGTGTTCTGGGCACAGGTATTGGAGTTGCAATGGAAAGCAATCACAAGAGAGGGTGCTTCCAGGAAGACTGCAGTTCTGGCTTCCAGCAGGCAGTTCTCCAGATTGAGAAGATGGTCCAACCTTATCTCTGAGGTTGACAATGAGCCTTCTGGTGCTTATAAATGAGATGAATGATGAATACAATAACTAACACTAGAGAGACTCTGCCTCCAGCCAGGTGGACAGTCAGGTTTATGAGTGGACTGGATGGCCTGGCACAGAAACGTAATGCTCTAGTGTTCCTTTCAAGGCAGTATACACATCCACAAACACAATTAAAAATATTTTTTTGATAATTAGTTATTTAATGTGACTCTCGCATCTCTGCCTTGTCAAGGGAAATCCCTTCTGAACTCAGAAATATCTTCACAGAGAGAAAAGAGTGTAATAAACTGATGCCTGTTTAAAGTATCTGGTCTCTCAGTGACTGTTACATTAATTTGCTACAAGATTTCAGATAATAGAGTATTGTTCTATTGGAAATGATCAAAGATTACTAGCTACTAGGTACTAAGGAAAAAAAAAAAAAGATTCCCCCAAATATCCCCAACTAGCCTCACATCAGTTGAATACAAAACACTTCAGTGCTAAGACTGAGGAACCTCTATTGCTGGAACCACTTGTGCTAATTATTTCTCCCCCTAATTATTTGCAACAGAAGCAGAAAAGAAGTGGAATTGACCTCTGAAGTGCTGTGCCCAAAGAACAGCCTTTAAGGAGAAACTAATTAAACCAGGATGAGCAGCAGCATCTCCTCAGGACAAAACGCACATCCATCCAAAGGAGTGATGGGTGCAGGACTGGGGGTTTATAGTAATTAAGAAAAGAAGTGAGATGCTCCAGTGGGAAAAGACTGAGCAAGCCTTTAGCTGTGCAGTCATCCATACAGGAATGTTAGGTTAGAAGACAGCTCAGTCTGGATAGAGAATGCTGACCTGAATTGGAGAGGAAAATTTGAGAGCCATTAACATTCACCTGGAAGAGTGAACAAGTTTGTCCATGGGTAAAATGGAGAAAAAAAGAGAAAAGGCAACCAAAGAATTAAGTTCTCAAAGATTTGAATGAATAGAGAAGAGCTGAAAGGGGTATAGTTAAGAGCACTCTGCGGATAAGTTGGAATGCTGAGAAGAAAACAAAACAAAAAGATAAATAAAAAAAAAAGATAAAAGAGGCTTGCTGGATGATGTTAATATGCTTTCCAGTCAAGCAGGGAAAGACAGTAAGGGTCAGAGATGTGTTCACATAGGTACATCTCTCTAAAGACTGGACAGGAGCCATTCTAAAGCATTAGCAACATCTGGTAGCTGGGCAGAAGGCAAGGGCATTAGCTTAGCGTTTACAAAACACAACTCCAGAAAAAGTCAGTGCTTGCAGCTGTCTGCCATTAAGTAGCCTTATGTAGAATCTTTTCCATGTGTATGGGTGCCTTGAAGGTGCCATGTGGGTGGGACAAGGGGCTAGTATTCAAAATGAGAAAGCCCATTGAATTAGAAAGATCAGTTAAAAGCTGAAGAGAACAATATATTTCAAGAATTATCTGTGCATTTTACTTTGATTTTGTTGTGGGTTGTTTTTTTTTTTTTTTTTTTTTTTTTTTTTTTTTCCAGGAGTTCTCTTTTCTGCTTAAATGCAAGATCTATTAAGCAGCTGCTATGTTTAAATGCAACGCAGAAAACATTTCTTTATCTCACTGGAGAAACAAGAAACCTTAGTAAGAGCAATTCAGCACTTATAGTGTTAGTTTTAAATACAGCAATACATTCAAATTTTAAGAGCTCTACCACATAAAACCAGGAAAGAATAGGTGTACTTCAAACATTTATTCTGTTTATCATTTTTAATTTTGTCTTTTAAAAGTTTTTAGAGTCTAGCACAGTTTAAACACATAGAAAATTTGGATCTCAAATCTTTATAATATTTGTAATTCATTGCCATCTTCCTTTTTAGGTATCATACTTTCTCTAGTTGTCAGTGAGTGGTGTGACCACACCTTAAATTTCATGGAAATCAGCATATTCAAGTATCTTAGCAGTAGTTTGTTTGGGGTGTTTTGTTTTGTTTTCCTTTCTGCCCCCTCCTTCTCCAAATGAATTAGTGACAATTACAGATCAAAATAGTGGATCCCTTAGGCTCTGCTGGTAAAAACACTGTCACACAGGAGTCCAGAGCCCCAGTAGTTTTTCTCCTTTTATTTTTCTTTCCTCATCTTTTCTCCTTGCAGAATGAAAACTGGAAGAGGTGACTTTTTTTTTTTTTTTTTTCCCTTCCCCCCTCCTAGGCCTGTTGCAAGCCAAGTATGAAGCTAACAGTAGGGGAAATGTTGAACGTAAGATCTGGAAGCTGCTTGAGTCCAGAAATGTTGATATAATCAGATTGAGGTAATTTAAAAATCTTACAATTTTTAAAAAAATTTTTTTTTTTGAAATAACAAAAAAAAAAGTGCCTGGCATTTGTCATTAGATTAAACTGTCAATGCAAACTCTGGATGCTTCTTTTATGGAGCCTCAGATACAAATACTTCCTAATTTCCATTCAGCTTTTGCAAAGAAAAGCCAGCAGACAGCCAATATCAGCAGAATAAAATGAATAAAACCAATAAAACCAAACAAGGATAGTTATTCTCCCTCTGCTCCAGCATACAGATCATCTCTCATGTTCACAGAGATTTTATCTCTCCACAATACAACCAACCCACTCACCAAAAATTTTCCCTTACATATTAATATACCTTTCTAAAAAATCATTTGTGAGTGTTAGGAGAAAACCAAACAAGAAAGGCAATGTTAATACTTCTGCTAAGAATCAAGTACCATGGTAGCATTCTTGTTTGACGAACTTTTCTTCTGTCTTCAATGTCTGGGAGATGGTTCTCAGGGGCTTTGTCCATTTCTGCTCTAGATTTCCATGCATCCAACGCAGACACCTCACAACACACCTTGTAGGGAGGAGCCAGCTACAATTGCAACTAATTTATATTTTCATCATAACTTCAGACAGATCTGGAAGCCCTGGAGAACAATCAGTGTTACAGCCCAGCTGGACAGCTAGACCTTGTAGTCTGAAGTGAAAAGCAAGAAGCCCACCAGCACAAATTGCCACATGATCAAGTCAGGTACAGCTTGTTTTCTCAGGAGCTATCTCCAGAAAGTCTTATAATGTTAACTGATGGGCCAGGCTGGCAGCAGCCTGCTGCAATGCTGAGGCAACTTGTGGAGATGTGTATGTGGCAGCACCCAGCCCACCATCATCAGGCCTGCAGATACCATCTTGCCTTCAACACTCCATGTGATATAGGCACAGAACTGATCTTCATGTGGCTGGGGCTGCCAATGCTTTTTTTCAACCTTGTGTTGGTATTTTGCTCCAAGACTCAAACGCTGAGGTGGAAAAGTTCTCTTCATGTCACATGTGGGCAGAAAGAACAGTAGAAGCACAAGGAAAGCATACAAATTAAAATGGGAGGGCTGGGGTATCTTTTTAATAGACATTACCCCCCTCCCCCCTCAATATTTTACAATGAGTATTCATAGTAAAATCTACCTATATTCCCCTGTCATAATAAAATACCTGTGCTGTAGCTGGCAGAGATGTTTTTCTTTCCACAATAGTGATAGAAGCCATTGCTAGTGCAGCTGCTGCAATTACTTTCCTTAGCTCAGCAGTTTACAACAGTAATTCTCATTAAAGTAAGCCTGTGGAGTGTGCCAGACTGCTGGCTCTGCAGAGCACAGCCCTACAAGTATCCACAAAATTTAAAGTCTGATAGTTGTATCAGCACAAGAAACCTTGGACACACATTCCTCCCCACCAGTACCTAGGAAATAATGTGTGCTGAGTTTACATGATGAATGTGATCACGTAAATGAAGAAAATAAGAGAAAAATCTCACCTGGGTCAGTATATCTACTCTCTCTCATGGAGTGAGGTCTGCAGGATAAGCGAAATTTTAGATCTGGGGGATAAGCATTCAGAACCCTCTTCACAGCCTGTGATGTCAAATGCCAACCAGTTCAGCCTCATCTCATATTTGCACCAAACACAGCTCAAACTACACATTTGTTCAAGGAGAAGGAGAAACTGCAAGTTATCATGGCTTTACCTTGGGTAAACTTTTTTTTCTTTTTTCTTAAAAATAAACTAACAAAACAAACAAACATACAAAAAAGAATCTGTAAGTCTTTCCTTGGTGCATTCACCTGCAGAGAGGAAACATGGCCGACAGGAGAGAAGAGCTGGGAAGAGGAAGCTGGTCTCTATTTATGTGAATGGATTGCCAGTGCTAACCCTGTAATTATTTAAGTCATTACAAATAGGAGAGACATTTTTGCTTTATATGCTTGTTTCTTTTTTTCTACTGATGTAGGTTACCATCACTCATTCAGTCTAAATGTCACTTTCATGACCTGAAATAATATAGCTTTTTTATTAGTGACTTGCTATATTCAATGACTTCTGGGCTACCTGTGGCTCATCCTCCACCATCCACCCCTTTTAATTTCAACACCAGAGACAGTGTCAGCAAGTAAGAGTTTTCACCTTCTCTGTTAGTCAAATGACAGGCAAAAGCATATTTTCTCAGACCTGTTTTTTCAAATCACGAATGACATGCATATAATTGCTATACCACTGGCTGAATCGGAATAGCATAGAGCAGAATTGTATTCAAGGGGTATTTTGATTTAGGGAAATACCTTCTCCTTTCAGCCTACACCTCTTCACTTAAAAACTCTGTTTCATTCTGTAATATGTTGTATTGAGACTCAAGGCTGAAATAAAAGTTATTATTCTGTGCTTTTCCCACCTGCCTGCTGGCCATGTGCCTCTTGCACTGCAGGAAGCAGTGTGCTTCAAGGCTGCACCACAGAGTACATCCTGCAACTCCAACACTCCTTGTCAACATGGTTGTTAACTGCATCCTGCTGAAGGAAGGCTGAGTGTGGCAAATCTGAACTGCAGCATTTTAACATGAACAAAGTTGTTATCCTGCTTTGCGGGCTTGCTTTTCTTAATTAGAGTGTAGACTCACAGAAGCAGACTGGGGACATAAAGTCTTACAAAATCCAGACTGATGGTTGCATACCTGTGTGACCTATTTAGCATCTGCAAATCTGTTTAATGCCAAGAACTACATTAGATAATTCAAGCAAAAGCTCAAAGGGAGTCACATAATGAGAGCGTTCAGATTACTGTTGTGATTACTCCAGTCTCTTTCCCCTTCTCACTCAGGAATTTCATTTAGGCAAGCAGTCATTTTAAGAATATGCAAATTGTGATTGCCAGTTTAGCTATGAACCTGGCAGAAAGCCAGGCTTCTGTGAAACTGGCTACTGCAGGCAGCATGAAGTTAAATATGCATGACCTTGCCTGATGTCAGTCCATAGGATTGCAGGCACCCTGCATCTGTAAAGATTCAAGCCTATCAACTATCAGTTACTAGTCTGTATGCAAAGTGTCTCAAAATCCAACATAATGGAGTTTCTTAGCATTTCAGTGCTCAGTGATCATGTAAACTCAGCACATGTTCATTACCTCTCTCTTCTTTAGTAAGGTCTTGAATTAAAAAGCCACGCGTTTATCCATGGCAAATCCAATAGTTAGGTCTTGACAAGAATGTATACTGATTTCACATAATGAGGGTGGGAAGATTTCATGCTGATGATTTTATTATATAAAAATTGGATAAGTCCATTGTTATCAACAAATGGTGATTAAAATGCAATAGTTAGTATAAATAATGCATTTGACAGTAAGAAATTAATGATGCATTAAGATAAGGCTAGCACTACGAAATTGCCTGAGAGCATTGTACATAATCAAGAGTCATAGAAAAGTCTACTATCATTCAGGGTTATAAATGACAATTTAAAGTAGAATAAAATCTTTCAATCCAATAAAATCAGCTTTACCTCATTTCAATTCACAAATGTATGTCAAGTATACTGGCATTGGCAATACCTGTAATCTTTAAAAAGATTCTACAACTATTGAATATATACAGAAGGGCAGATTCTGATCTTGTAAATACCAGGGGAACTCAGTGCATAGTTTTGAATTAAAAAAGAAAAATGCTGCCAAACAATGTCAAATTTATTCTTTCACAAGAGAAATGGCTGCAGAGGGTGCTGACTTTCCACATGGAGCCTTATCATTTGCTTTGAGCCAAACTTTGATTCTTCCTCATGGCTGCTTTAGAGCAGGGAAGAATCTTCCTTACCCAAGGGAAACTGGTGAGGAGCAAATCAGCAACAACCTTCCTGCACTCCAGGGAGAGTTCTCAGGGGGCCATGGATGTAGATGCTGCTCCATGCCATCCAGCCACAAAGTGGCCTGAAGAAACATTGTGAGCCATGCACTGAAACTGAAACCCCAGCTACAACACAGTTGCAAAATCTGAGGGATACAATTAGACTTTTGTAATCAATTTGGCTGATGGTTTTCTTGTTTCTTGTCTCACACTGCTGGCTCACAGCCAGTCTGTGTCTAATTAGTGACCCCAGCCCTATGGAATGAGCTTTCTCAATACAGCAGAATACAGTACAGCAGTGCATGACCCCCCAGTTCAAAATGGAGAGGGAGGATGATGTCTCCAACACTCTCACACTGATGTCACCACCATTGCTGCGCTGTTCACACTTGGTGACCATCTGGCAGTCGCTATGGCAATAAGTCTGTGGCTGTGCAAACAATTTCCAAAGCTTTTGCAAATCTTTTATCTTGATTTGTGGAGCAGATTTAATACAATAACATTTATACATGTAAAAAATAATGCTTCCTGAATATGCTATGGCATATTGATGTTAAGCAGGCAGCTTCTGGATTTCTAGTATTTTGGAGAGCTAACGCTAAACAAAGAAAAACCAAAGGGGGACTGGTAGCTTGAATGTGCTTGCAGGGTGGAAACGTTTGCTGTTAAACAAAGAAACATCTGTTTATAGGTATTTATAATCAATTTATAGAGTAATTCCAAGCAATTACTCTTGGTATGACTCAAAAACTCAGGCTGAATTCTAGCTAGGCAACAAAAAGAGATTTCTGTAATGCTGGAGAGACTCTTGAGCACAGTTGGAGGAAAGTACAAATCAACTGTTAACATGATAAAACTGTGCTCAGTAACTAAACTTCTGGAGCTCTTCACAACTCAGCAAACATTCACACTGGAAAATCAGACATAAAGCAGCAAATTGCTGCAGCAACACTGGATTTTCAATGCAGCAGGTGAGACAGAGGGCGTACAGGAGACCCTGTAACATCCTGGAGCAGCAAATGGGGGCCAGGTAGAATAGTGACCCTGATGGTATTTGTTTGTAGGCACGTCAATTGCTGCCTCAGAGGAGCTGTAGCTTAACCATTTCTCAGGGGGAAGAAGTCTGCAGCAGACACACACAAAAAATATGTCCTTGGTCAAGATTTACACTTTAGAAAAAGGATTTGATTCTAAGAAACTAGTAAGGAAGAAGACAAGGAAACTAATAACCATAATTTCATAAAGCATTTTTTTTTATTTGAAAACATTATACAGGCATTACATTGCCACAGCCAGTCCATATAGGAGCATGCAAATATCAAAATGAAGAAAGGTTTGTTCAGCTTTTTTTACGCAGGATTTGGGGTTGGGATTCTGTTTGCTTGGTTTTGGTTCACATTTCCATCTGCAGTGTCAACATTAGTGTGCTTTATTATGGCGTTTAACAGTAAAATCCTACCCATGGGGTAAAATTTATATTCATAGCTAGCTCAGGAATACTAAATGGTTTTTTAAAAAAGAAAACAATACTACACGCTTGTCAAAATGTTAATAGCACAAGTTAGCAATCTCTACACTATACATTGAAACTTTTTCATATGACACAATGGTGCAAAATTCTCAATTGCTTGGTCTTTCATTGTGTTGTTTTGAAAGTTTATAGCTGGAACAAGGACAAGGTTTGTCTCCCAGTAAAGGTTTTCATCCAGTAGCAGAAAATTACATCAGTCTTGCTAAGGGCTGCTCAGCGCCAACAGTGTAACAGGGCTTCAGTTTGTTCAGGCAAGGATCTACGAAGAGTAGCTGCCAGCTAGATAGCTGAACCTCTGCTGGTGTGTTCTGAGGTCTTGAACTGCAGGAAACAAGCAGGCAGAAGTAATGTTTTCCTTTACCAGACCCCAGCTTCACAGTCAATACTTGTAAAGCTATACTACTGTCTTCCTTAGAGGTCCATCCAGCACTAGCACACTGGTGCTAATTGAAGTTCCCACCTTTTTTAATGGGAGATGCAGAATGTGAAGCAGACCCACTTTGCACATGGGACTCCTCCTGTGCAAACAACACAGAGGATGGTGGCTGGGCATCGAGTGTATACCCAGACATTCACACTTTATTTCCAGAGGACAGAGCTTTTAAAAATAGCCTCTAAAAATCACTATAGATGGCACATCGTAGACATCCATGGTTTGTAAACTCTTGTGTGTAAATCTCCCATTCCAGCAAAGTGCCCAGGACATGCCTTCTGCCCAGCTCTTTCTGAGAAGACTCCAACAAACATCTACAAGTTAGTGTCAGAAAAAATGAAGAGAAAGAGGTGGAAGGACTACAAACATTTGGCTTGAAAATAAATACTAATAATGAAATAAACCAAAACAGTTATGCAAAACAAAGGAATTGTAAACATAGAACAAACACACACACCATCCTCAAAGATCTCAAGATCAACATGGGGACTAACATTCAGAGAAAGGTATTTAATTGGTATAAAAGGTAGCAAAAAGACCGAGATGACAGGTGCCTGTCAGTTGCCTCTGAGCATTTGACAGTGTTGTGGTGTTTGTGGCCAAAGCCACTGCTCCTGTGAAGGTATGAAACCTGACAGGGTTGGACCCAGGATGCTCACTGGCCCACTCTAAACAAGGGCTCCAGCCAAGTGAACCACGTGCTTTCCACCTGGACTTCCACCCTGCTAACCTGAAGCACCAGGCGATCATTCTTGAGTGTGGGAGGTCAATTTTTTGGTTCATTTTAACCTCGAATCCTGTAGCATTTGAGCTTTCCTCCACATTCCCAGAAAAAGGACTCTATTTCTCTGTGGAATCTTCTTTTTTTTTCTTCAAAGGCTTAGGAGAAAAAGCTTGGAAAGATGAATGCTAAAGATGATTTAAAAACAGAAGGCAGGAAAAAAAAATCTCATTCTTTTTGATTTAAAAAAATCAGAGAATCTTAACTGAAGGTTTTAGAAT